GCTGAAGGACAGCAGAATTTTCATGGCTTTTTAAATTCCAGCACTGATTAGGACTCGAACTACAAAACAAATATGTTCAGGCTTCCATTCAAGAGATGAGTCTGTGCTGATAGTCGGCCTGTTAATCTGTTAATTACTTAATGCACTTCTGGACTGCACCCAAAACAAAGATACTCTCTTTAAAGTGTGGCTATTCACTTCTCCTTTTCCAGGAGTCAGTCTCTGGTCACATTACTGAAATCTTCAGCTTTCTTTCATGAAGGTCTGGCCATAGCTGTATGTATGCTCTCCGGTCAGCAAACCAATGCCGCTTGGAGTTCGCTGTGTCATGTGAGAAATGTCACTCCAAACGTTTCTCATGTGTCATTCCCTGATGGTGGAATGAGCTGCCAAACCATGTCCAGTCATCATGGTCCCTCCCCACCGTCACGTGGACCTGTACTAGCCTGACACCACTCCTCATTCTCTGAATGTTGCACTTTCTCATGTTGATTTAAAGGGTTATAGTGTTATTAAGTCCTTACTTTGGTGGAAGATGTTGTGTAGCTCATGCTCCAACACTGCTTGTACCTGCACCTGGGCATTCATTGGAAGTTGTGCTTAGTCGACTCCTTGACAGCTGTATGTTTGTAAAGTGCTATTTGCCTCATTTGAATGTCGCTTTGGACAAAAGGGTCAACCAAATAAATGCAAAATGTATGTGATATAAGTTACATGGTTCCAGCATAAACTGCCTATGTGTTGCTCAAGACAGCAAATGGGGCAGCAGCCTTTGAATAAAACACAACATACTGGACACGACTTGCTTTGTACCACGGCTTGAACCATCTGTGCATACTGACTAGATCAGGGCTCTTCAAATCTGGCCCTCGATTCCAAATCCAGGCCTTGTTTTCAGTTCTCCCAGGTAGTTAGTTTAATAATGACTGATTCTGATTGGTCAGAGGCTTCACACCCGGCTCACAGATAGAGGAAGGTTGGAAAACCAGCAGGGCTCAGACCTCGAGGACCGTGATTTGAATAACCCTGGACTAGATAATAAGCCGTTAACACGGAGGTTCCCATGCAGGTGGGGGCGGAGTTCTGTGGCTTTTGTTTCATTCATAAAATGCTGCAGCAAGGCAGCACGTGTCTCCCTCTACTCTTCCATTTTAGGTGTGACGGTCAGGTCTTACACGGGTTGCTAGGCAACAGCATCCAGCACAGAACAGAGAGACCAGTGCGGCACATCCCTGGCTTTTTTCAACTTGCTATCCACACCCAGTTTATGTCTGATCATTTGCTCAGCATCTCAAGCTATGACTTTACACTCACTGTGTCGAGTCTTAATGTATTACATTTTTTTTAAGTTTCCAGAGTATTTATTATGTCTTTCACATAAGTTTCACATTGAAACGTAGGACTCGCTCTGGGAATAGCAGCAGCGCAGTTTGCAAACCCAGCCGACAGATGAACGCAACCTGCACAGACCGCCACCTATTTGACATTCCCCTCGCGGCTCCATCGCGCGCCTCACATTCTGGACCGCCTTTCTAAAAATAACCCCATGCTGACGTCACTCGGCCAATCAGGGATTGGTCAGGCAGGGGGGTGTAACCCGAGGCAGCTAGCGGAAACTCCTACAAGTGGAAGGTTTCCGTGCAGGACCGCTTATAAATCCAAGTGACCTGGCTAATGTTAGGTCCACAGTAACAAGTAGATGTCTAACCAACAAGAGGGAAACAACTAGTGACGTTATTCGGCGATATAACGGGGCGGGATTGAAAAAGAAAGAGACGTTGACATAGCGATACATAACGATGAGCGTCCAATCGGCAGAGGGGAACCCCTGTCAGTCATCTTTGAAAGGACCAATGGGATGTCCCTAGAGGCGGGTTTTCTGTGAGGCCGGAGTTCCGTCTGCTGTATGCTGAAGATTTGGTGGGTGGGCTCACTGTTGACCCGGGCCATTATTCATCGGATTTAGAAATAAAACAATCACTCGGAATCGGAACGAGGAAAAACCGCGGTGTAACGCTGCGGGAGTGGCGGGTTTTCTGCTGGACGGGGGAGCCTCGCCAGGGGCTGCGTGGAGGGACGATCGGGGGAGCGGAGATCAGAACCAGGCTGGGCTCATCGAATCCGAGTCGGCGGGGCGGGAAGGAACGGCCGGCCGGGTAGCAGGTGCTGGGGCGCCCTTTGACCACATGCATATAAGCGCGCTGACCGCAGGAGGAACCGAGAGCGACCCGAAAGTCTGGACCCGGTTCGGGACTGAGCGGCGGCAGCCGGAGAGAGTGCCCGCGGGGGGGTGCGATCATCCAGCCAGTCGGCCTGCAGTCATGGGCAACACGCCCACCGCCAAGAAGGGTGGCGAGATGGAGAGTGGTAAGAAGCCGGTCCGGGACACGTCCGATCACATTTCCGCTGCGCGGCAGCAGGGGGCGACCCTGGGTGGAGGGGCAACGGCGGTAAGTGATGGGGGAGACCTGGTTCGGCTCTGTGACTGCCAGGCCAGGGTCCGGTGGTCCCGTGGGTCGAGAGGCTGCATGAGCCTGCACTGCCGTCCTGTAAGCGCTGTGTGAATGTGGGGCCACACACACACACACACCCCCTGCGCAGTATCTACGTGGGCTCTGCCCAGTCCAGCCAGTCGCTCTTTGGTCTTGGGGGAAGCTGAGAGAGGTTCCCTCTGATATTTGGGAATGCGCAGGCGCAGTGGCCTGCCATGTTTGTACATACACCTTCACATAAAGCGAGGACCCCCCCACCCCTCCCCCCCAAAAAAAAAATTTGCCTTTTGCCCATAGCCTCCAGGATAGGCTCCAGACCCCTGCTACCCTGAATAGGTCAAGCAGTGTCAGAAAATGGATGGATGGATGGATGGATGATGGATGGCTTTGCAAAATACACAGTTTGCAATGTTATGCCTCAATGCTGCCTTTTGCTGTGGTAGTGAACTGTCCAGGATTGTTTCACTGAGATACGTCATAGGCCTGGGTTCCGAAATCTTTATGCCACCTGTTGTTCCGAATCAGTGTCTGTTGGCTGTGTCCGTCTCTCTCTCTGTGTCCTGTTTGCTCTGGCTGTGTCAGGCTTTGGATCTTGGTTCTGGGACTTTGTCAGGACAAGCTGACCTCTGATAGGCTCCCCTGCAGATTGCTTTTTCATTCTTGACACAGCTGGTCTTTGCAGGTAGGCCCGAGGGGACCAGGGGACCACGCAGACTGGGCTGGTGGGGGCACTTAATCTTTCGCAGTTTTACCCACCCTTCCAGCCACTGCTCAGGAACCAGCTGCTTTGTGCAAGATTTTCCTCTTTTTCTAACTGTAGAGAAGTTTAAAAGCATGTCGCTGCTTTCGTTGATCATTACCTACATCTCGGTGCAGTGCGGCGTCACTCCCGGAAGGACGTTTTTTCTTAGTGCCGACAATTTTGCGCAAAATAACTGCTTATTGTGCTTCTTATGTAATTCTACAGCTATATTATGTAATATGATTTCAATTACAGTACCATTTTAGAATAATTTAGTAAACCTAATTTAACTAATAAATTACTGACCCATATGATAAAATGGGGGCGGCATGGTGGTGCAGTGGTTAGCACTGTTGCCTCACACCTCTGGGTCTCGGGTTCGAGTCTCTGCCTGGGTAACGTGTGTGGATTTCCCATCATGCTTTGTGTCGTCCTCTGACCTGCCCTTCCTTTTGGTCACATGGCTGGTATATAGGGAGCTGGCAGTGAAATGGATTAACAAATAGCTTATTTAACATGTGGCAGCATCAGGCCCCATGCAGCATACAGTGTCCCATCTTGGCGTTTCTTAGTGTTCAGGCGTTACTTTACTTCATTCATTACTTATTTCATTGTGTTGTTTGTGTTTTATTCTAGTGAAAGAGTTTCTTGCCAAGGCCAAAGAAGATTTTCTCAAGAAATGGGAGAACCCAGCACAGGTATGGGAGTGTCTGTGCTACACAGGTATGTGTGTCTGTTGCTGTACAAGTATGTGTATGCCTGTGCTGAACCCTTGTGCATTTTTAGGAGCTGTGCATAGAGAGGATGGTGAATGACGTGCCATGCCTGAGCACTGTAGAGCCAAGGTCTCCAAGTGACATTCCTGTACAGCCGAGAGCTGTCCCCGCTCCCTAAGTGACGTGCCTGTAGAGCTGAGAGGCATCCCTGGTCTCCGAGTGATGTGCATGTAGAGCAGAGAGGTACCCTTGTTCTCCGAGTGATTTGTCTGTAGAGCCAAGAGGCGTCCCCAGTCTCTGGGTGATGTGTCTGTAGAGCCAAGAGGCGTCCCCAGTCTCTGGGTGATGTGCCTGTAGAGCCAAGAGGCGTCCCCAGTCTCTGGGTGATGTGCCTGTAGAGCCAAGAGGCGTCCCCAGTCTCTGGGTGATGTGCCTGTAGAGCCAAGAGGCGTCCCCAGTCTCTGGGTGATGTGTCTGTAGAGCCAAGAGGCGTCCCCAGTCTCTGGGTGATGTGCCTGTAGAGCCAAGAGGCGTCCCCAGTCTCTGGGTGATGTGTCTGTAGAGCCAAGAGGCGTCCCCAGTCTCTGGGTGATGTGCCTGTACGGCCGAGAGGCATCCCCAGTCTCTGGGTGACGTACCTGTAGAGTCGAGAAACGTCCCTGCTTTCCAAGAGATGTGCCTGTAGAGCCAAGAGATGTCATATGCCTATAGAGCAGTAAAGAAACACTGCTCTATCAAAGAGAGACTCTTACCTGGGTTACTTTGCTACCTTGTTAATGTTTCCAATCAATAGGCAAATTATTTATTCCTGCACCAGCTTGCCAGACAACTTGCCATCTAAGAATAACAAAACATGAAACGTCACCCATGCTGTTTTTAAAGTAATGTTCTCTCATTGTCTGTATGCACTTTGAGGTTTTCTCTGTAAAATGTAAAGTGCATTACAAATTAAATTTTTTATTATTATTATTATTATTATTATTATTATTACCCAGCTGATGCTTTTTGACTTGAGTTCCCCATTCCTGATTGATGCTGTTGTACATTTTAATCAGTGTATGGGAACACTGTTATAAAGAAGAACACACTCAGTCTTTCCACATAGAGAGGGTCTGTAGGACTCATCTCAATGTGCCTTTGAGCATTTGTGTGCTTGTGATGGAATGGCCCACACTGACTCACCCACACCCCCTGGTGGTTCTACAAAGCAGAGCTGGAAGACTAGAACCTAGTACCGTCTGAATTAAGTATGTGTGCAGAAATAAACACACCCGGACTCTCAGGGAGCCCTGCGGGAAACAGCTGCCCTGCTGCTCTTCCGTCTGCTCTGTCTGCTTCTGCTCCCGGCTGAATCCTCAGATTCTGCCCTAAATGGCAGACACAATATTCCTTTGGTCTTACTGAGTTTCCACATTTTTCCATTTATGGTTATGCCTGTTCTCTGCTCTCTACACCCCGATTCAGAACACAGCATCTCTGGACCACTTTGAGCGGTTAAAGACTCTGGGCACCGGGTCATTTGGACGGGTCATGCTCGTCAGACACAAGGAAACAGGTCAGCATTTTGCCATGAAGATCCTGGACAAACAGAAGGTGAGGAGGGCAGGGCCTTCTGGGGGGGTGGGATTACCTGGGTGCATGCCGGGGCAGCTAGTTATGTGGGGGGTAGGGTTACATGGGGGTGTGTCTGGGCAGCGTGCTCCAAGGGGGGAGGGGTCACCCGGGGGCATGCCCAGGCACTGAGCCCCATTCCTGTACCTGTGCACGAGGTACACTATACTGCCAAAGGTATTGTGACTCCCCTCCAAGTAGTACTGTGTGGTATAAACAGTATACAATATAAATTTGGTCAACGGTAGAGATTTTGATTATACCGCCCTACCGCAGAAATTTCCCCTCCTCGCCAGCAAAAATGACGTAATCAAATTGCGTCAAATAATAAATAATTTATTATTTATATTATTTATATGAAAAATGTTTATATGATTATTGCTGCACCTGGCAGCAGAGTCCTGCACGGGTCTGATTTTGACAAAACGCACCCGCCCGTCACACTTAAACCCATATCCGAACCGTTATCCGACAGAAATAAAATAAAATTCCGACCTGCTATAAAGAAATACCGACACCCGATCCGCACCCGAATGAAAATCAGTCAGATAGCCAAAATTAAAGACAAAAGTTTATTGCCACAACAAACGACCAGTGACATGTGCAGCATCAGTTGAAAAGGCATAGCCAAATGTAAACATTGTTTAACAGCCTAATAATAAGCAAAACAAACGGTAGTAGTCTACCTCCAAACTCAAATAATGTTTGATATTGCCATGCCCACACATAGCCTTGCCAGCTTACATTCAAATGTGTTAATAAAACTAAAATGATATAAAATGTACATTAGGCTACCCTGCACAGTATTGGGTTTTATAGGGTACCTACGTGCACTGTCCATTCTCCTTTGATTACCCGATTGGAAATCCTACGTGAAGGTGAAGACTAGCGTTTGGTGCGGTGCTTTATATTACTGTGTAAAAAAGGACATCGTCCACAGTCGATGGCCTCAGCTGACTCCTTCGCTCCCGGATGACACATCCGGCATATGAGAGATCTCGCTCACCTGCGGCACTGGATGCCGGGATAATGAGACTAAATCTCGCAATATGAGCAATATTGGGAAACAAACGGTCAAGCTCTCTCCAGCAAGACAAGACGTCAAAAGAGTTGTTTTCGTTATCTGAGATAACTCCGAAATTCTCCCACACGTCGGACTTCATTTTAGTGCAGGTATTGGCCACAACTTTAAACTCTCCACTTGCTGATTTTCTTTTCAACTCCTCAGCATCCATTTCGAACAGCTGCAGGAGATCACGCGCGCTTTTTGAAAATGAAAGTGGGAGAGATGTCTGGGAATGTGCGTGCAGGCATAAACTGATATGGATTTTTCGTTTTATCATCTTGAATGCAGGGATTTTTTGTGTGTCATTAAAATATAGCCCTAGGGTATTTTTTGTTGGCACATGATGTTTTGAAAACCGCAATTTAGACCCGCGCTCTCCTGCGTCCGACCCGAATCCGACACAGTAGAATATTTTTCACCCGTTTCATCAAAATTTGCGTGTCACCTGTCGGGAACCCGAACCCCTGCAGGACTCTGCCTGGCAGGACCTTTATGGGACAGATGGTCATACTAATATATGGAGTTATGACACTAGTCTAATTGTATTAGTTATGTAGCTTTTGGTTCTGTGTCTTGTTTTCTGCTTACCTGCAGTTTACAAAACCAACCTGTGTTTTTAATATAAGATAAAACCAGTGAAGTTACTTGAAATGTTTTCATATTTTTTCCACAATTGCAGATTTGCACAATAAATATTCTATGTTCACGACTACTTTGAAATGTGTTAACAGTTTATTATACAACTTCCTGCTGCAATGCCTTTGCTATGGACATATGTTACCCTTTCAAAAACAGTTATATTGAAGTTTACAGATCAAATTACATACCGCAATATATACTGTCTACCGTCTATGGTTCAAATTATACCGCAACATGAATTTTATGCCATATTGCACAGCCCTATCTCCAAGTCATTCTCCAACTCAGGTGTTCCAATCACTTCCACAGCCACAGGTGTATAAAATCAATAAGTCCATTCATGAAATTTCCTTGCTACTAAATATTCCATGGTCAACTGTTAGTGGTATTGTAACAAAGTGAAAGCATTTGGGAACAACAGCAACTTAGCCACAAAGTGGTAGGCCACGTAAAATCACAGAGCGGGGACAACGCATGCTGAGGCGCACAGTGTGCAGAAGTCGCCAACTGTCTGCAGAGTGAGTCAATAGCTACAGACCTCTAAATTTCACGTGACCTTCAAATTAGCTCAAGAACAGTGCTGCCAACTTTGTGGGAACAGTTTGAGGATGTTCCCTTCCTGTTCCAACATGACTGCACACCAGTGCACAATGTAAGGTCCAAAAGGACATAGATGAGCGAGGCTGGTGTGGAGGAACTTGACTGGCCTGCACAGAGCCCTGATCTCAACCCGACAGAACACCTTTGGGATGAATTAGAGCGGAGACTGTGAGCCAGGCCTTCTCATCCAGCAACATTGCTTGACCTCACAAACGCTCTCCTGGAAGAATGGTCAAAAATTCCCATAAACACACTCCTAAACCTTGTGGACATCCTTCCCAGAAGAGCTGAAGCTGTGGGCCAGCTGCAACGGTGGGGGTGGGGGGGGGCATAGCCCCATCTGCTGGGACCTCAGTCTGACACTTCGTTAAACAGCTTTTCCGCTTCACACAGCTTGCTCTACTCAAAGGTACAACAGATGGCCCCTTAATCAATAGGCCAGCTGCTTGTAGATCCGTGGAGGGTTTGGCCGGCGTGACCTGGCTGTGTCCCAGGCGGCCTGGGCTCAGCTGTCCTCCCCCTGTCCTGTGGTGGCAGACAGAAAGGCACGTGGCTGGCAGGACACAGCACCTGCCCCCGCAGCTCTCAGCTCTCTCAGTTGGCTGTGCTGAGGGTGGGGCTGAGCTGAACGAGTGACCCCAGCTTCAGGTGGCCATGCCCTGACCGCTCCCCCCCCACTCCCCTGGCAGGTGGTGAAGCTGAAGCAGATTGAGCACACGCTGAATGAGAAGCGGATCCTGCAGGCCGTCAGCTTCCCCTTCCTGGTCCGTGTGGAGTACACTTTCAAGGTAGTATTTGTGCCTGTGTGTGTGCATGCCTGTGCACACCTGTGCCTACATGTGCATTCTACTCACTACCTCACCACCCTCCCAGGACAACAGCAACCTGTACATGGTGATGGAGTATGTGCCAGGAGGAGAGATGTTCTCACACCTGAGGAGGATTGGCAGGTTCAGGTAAGCTTGGTGGAAGAGACGTGATGGTGGTGGTGGTGGTGGTGGTGGTGGTGGTGGTGGTGTTGATGATTTTGATGATGATGATGATGACGGGGTTTCTGATGCTCAGTTGACATGTTGGCCTGCAGAGTACGGCATTTAATTAGTCTCAAAACTCACGCACATGAAAACCACGCGTGCGTATGCACTCATGAGCAGAAAACACATCCTCTCTACGTGCTCGCGCTTGCTGGACCATCACCATGCACTCACGTCTGCACAGCACTCATTCACTTCACAGGTTGAGTTTTGAGACACTGGAAGCGGGAACAGTGCAGATTTCTCCACTTCATTGATCGGTCACTGAATCCTGTGATTGACTGTTTGCTTTGGAAGAAGATGAAGATGATCACTGACCAGTTGATGAGAGAACAGCCAGTTTCACACTTTGTCATGATGTTGGAGCAAGAAAGTCTTACACTAAGTAAACATCTTTCAGAGATCCTATTTTAATATTGCATGTTCCAACTGCACGCTTTTAAAGTCTCAAATATCAACCTGAATGAGTGTTGTGCAGACGTGAGCACATGGAGAGGGTCCAGCGAGAGCAGGTGCGTGGAGAGGATGGGTTTTCTGCTTGTGAGCGCATATACACGCGTGGTTTTTATGTGTGCGAGTTTTGAGGCTAAACACTATAGTAGAGGGCCACTGCTTTGGTATGTCTGGCTCACTGTGGCTTTTCGAGGTGCTTTCTGGAGCAATTGAGTCTGTGGTCTATGTCTTCATGGTCTGCTGCCAGCTACAAAAAGTCCGTCTGTGAGGAGCTGGGAGCTCCTGTGTGGAACATAGGCGTACGGGCATATCCCTGGGTGCACAGTCTCACCCGGCGCAGGCAGAGTAGAGGGGCCAGTCAGCCAGGCTGCCCATCTTTGGACGGGAGGGAGGAGCCAGCATACGCAGCGGAAAGCCACATGACACGAGGTGAACATGCAACCTCAACCCGCAGAGGTGGGATTCGAACCCCCAACTATGAGTGAGGCAACAGTGTTGGCAGTGATGATGACATTCTTTACATTTATTTACTTAGCAGGCACTTTTTCTTAAAGCGACTTATACGTGAGGATCCGAGAACGGGGTCAGACAATGCTCATGCGGTTACGGGTCCTGATCAAAGGCCTGGCTGTGATGTGATTACTCTGCTGGCCAAGGAAGTTGACCCCATGACCTTCGGGGCATGGGCACAGATCCTCCGTGTGCTGGAATACGCAGTGACCCTAATGCGGCCCGATTTGCTCTCGCTCCCCGGTGGACCTGCAGCGAGCCGCACGCCCGCTTCTACGCCGCGCAGATCGTGTTGACGTTTGAGTACCTGCACTCCCTGGACCTGATCTACCGGGACCTGAAGCCAGAGAACCTGCTCATAGACCAGCAGGGTTACATCCAGGTGAGCTCACCTGCTAACTAGGTGTTCGTCCGCCAGCCTGCACTAAGCCAGATCACCAGTGTGACGTGCTCTGCACCTGTACTGGGTAAAAGCTATCTGTTATGAGATATCGGACATGTGAACAACTGGGAGAGAGAAGCAGAAAACCATTATTACCTTCAAAGTTCCATTTATCAGCAGATTCTGTGGTCCAAAGTGACCAACTTTTTTGATTTCAATTAAATAGTAATACTTTATTGATCTCCATGGTCTCACCTACCCCATCTTGCTCTCCATGCGACACACACAAAAGTGAGTGCAAGCTTGGGGGTCACATCTCAGTCAGCTGGTGTGAAGAACCCCTGGAGCTGGGGGTTGAGGGCCTGGCTCAGGGGCTCAGCGGCGGCATCAGTCTGCCGGCCCTGGGATTTGAACCGATGACCTTCCGATCATGAGCACAAGTCCTAAGTGCTGTGTTGCACAGCGCCCCCAGGCGGCGTGTTTGGTTATTATCCTGGAGCAGTACTCCAGCTGTCAGCCCGCCCTAGCAGCACGTTTGCTGTGAGTCCTCACCTGCTGGGCTGCACCAGACGGGGGTGCGGGCTCAGGGGGCCTCGGTAGTGGCGTGACGGTGGGACCGCAAGCGATTCAGCCGGGTCTTGGTGAAGCTCAGCACGCTTTCCCTTCCTGCCAAGGTGACTGATTTCGGCTTCGCCAAGCGGGTGAATGGCAGGACCTGGACGCTGTGCGGGACCCCCGAGTACTTGGCCCCAGAGATCATCCTCAGTAAGGTGAGTAATTGGTAACCTGGAGAGCATCGTGCGTCCATTGATACAAGCCAGCGTTCACAGATAGGCGCTCTGGGTGTCTGTGATGCGGCAGCTTCTGGGGTGTCTGTACAGGCCCTTCCAAGGTACAGACCTCCCACCCGTAGTCTGGCCTCCGCTCTGCTGCTCTTTCTCAGAATCAGTTTTTATTGGCCAAGTATGGCAACAAATTTGACTAGGTGGTTGCTCTGAGAACCACAGAAACAAAACAACTTTAAATAAAGGTCAGCATTAAAATGTGTCATTCCTGAATCATTGATTGTGCAGTAATCTCAGGCTCACTCTCTCCATCCTTCCCTCGTTCCTCGGCTCTTAGGGGTATAACAAGGCGGTGGATTGGTGGGCTCTGGGCGTGCTGATCTACGAGATGGCGGCGGGATACCCGCCGTTCTTCGCCGACCAGCCCATTCAGATCTACGAGAAGATCGTCTCTGGGAAGGTTTGTGTACTGACTGGGTGGAGGGGGTGGGGGTTAAACAGAATAAGCTATAAAACTTCTGCGGTCTTGCGGGGAATATCAGACCCCAGATGAGGGACATCCTCCATATAGTAGGATGTCCCACTCTGGACTTGTCTGCATCCCACCCAGACCTGCGGATGGTCACTCTCCCTCACAGCCTTGTTTTTAATGTTTGCTTGTCACTGGGGCTTAGGGTTGATGTGGTCTACAGGGAGAAGAACCAGCAGAATAGCCTGGGGTCTGTGCATCTGACCCTCCTTACATTCCTCTGCTCTGGTTACACCTTCCCGTGGATGCACCCCCACCCCACCCCACAGGTCCGATTCCCATCCCACTTTAGTTCAGACCTGAAAGACCTCCTGAGGAACCTGCTCCAGGTTGACCTGACCAAGCGTTTCGGCAATCTAAAGAACGGTGTCAACGACATCAAGGGCCACAAGTGGTTTGCCACCACCGACTGGATTGCCATCTACCAGAAGAAGGTGAGGGGGCTGGGTGCAGCTCGCTGTGCATGCCTGAACTTTTGGGGACATGGAGACTATTGAGGACTGTCATCTTCATCCACCTGCTTGCTGCCCAGGCCAGAAGGTCATGGCTGAGCCAGTGGGTAGAGCACAGGAGCTGGAGGGAGCAGCTTAGTGGCAGGGCCATGGGGGTGCAGGTCACGTGAGGACTTGAAAGCCCGTTTCCACCAGTGCGGTGCCGGTGCTGGACTTTTTCCCAATCCGGCACTGGTTTCACGTGTTTCCACCACAAAAAAATGGCCTTGGGCCAGAAGAAACGGCTCCAGCACGGCACCACAGAAAAGCTGGGCTCAGAATGTGGCACCATGACGTCAGCGGTGGGGTGGGCTCTGGCGTCCAAACCTTCCCTATATCTGGAAAATTCAATCCATAACTGATATAGTTAGTCTAATAACAGCGGTGCAGGCAGTGAAACAACTTGCCAGCTTATTAGCGGAATAAGGTTACAGCATTTTTTTTTTATTTTGTGAAAAGTAAAATATCGATCTGCTGGCCAGATTTAAAAATAAAGTATAAATATGTTACAGGTCGAAAAAATGAAATGCAGTGTTCAAGTGGCGAAGAGATCATGAGGTGAACTGCAAAAGCAGAGACTCCTATTGTGCATTTCTTAAAAGGACAGCAGTAAAACAGCGAGCGAGAATAAACTCCTTACACAGAGACGGGGAACCTTTACGGAAACAAAAGTGGATACAGGCAATGAAGACAGGGCGGCAAAATAAATAAAAAAAAAAACTAAATACAGATGAACCTTTACTTTACTTTCACTTCCGCCTACGTAACATTTCTGTTGCGTTCTTTTTTTAAACCAATGGAAACGCAGCCTGGTTCTCAAAAGGCACCAAGCGAGAACCAGCCCAGCATCAGCACCGGCACTGCATTGGTGGAATGGGCTTTGGGAAGCCGCCCCGTTCATCCACCCTGTGACCTGCTGAGCCTCCTGGGGGATTCTGGCTATTCTGTACCCTCTGAAAACAAGGTGTTCTTACTGACCATGTCTGATTATATCACTGCTACGTTGTGGAACATGGGCGGACATCCGGCATCCCAGCATGTACTGTATGTCCCAGCCCCAGTACTAGTGACACATCACAGGACAGTATCACTGTCACACAGTGACTTAACATGCCCGTTTATTGCTATGCTACCACCAGGCTGGTAAGGAGCCCACGATTGTCTCGATATCGAAGTGAAGATATCCATCACTGACGCGCCATGGCGCTCCTGTCCCTGGCAATGCGATGAGTCCGACTCTTGCTGCCTTGTGGGATATCACATATTCCTGTTACATTTGGGTCTTCGGATGGATTCTTCCACACTAAAGTTAGAATTACATGAATATTTTAATATATTATTGTACTAGAGCCAGGACTCTGTCCCTGGAGAGAGTGCCTGTCCAACACGAGATGCCCCCCCAGAGCACCCCAGCACAGATATGTGTCCTACCATGCTGCCACCCATCCCTTATAATATTCAAATATTTCAAGTTGCCTCCTTTTCTAGTTTGTAGCGCAGTTTCTCCAGGATCCTTGGTCATTAGAATGAAAGTCTCCCTGGGAAATTTATGACGCTGTCAGATACCAGCTGGGATCCACCTGCCAGAAGACAAAGAGCAAAAATGTTAGTGTTTCCATTAGCCAGCCTTCCAACAACGTACACCATACAGGGTTAGGGTGAGTCTGCGGCTGTCAGGCAGCAAGGGGGCAAGGTCCCCCGAAGGGGATGCCAGGTCCTCACGGGGCGCACACACACGCACACACATGCACGCACGCTTACTCACCACTCGCATTTAGAGATGCATATGGCCCTTTTCTACTGGCACCAAGAACCTAGCCGTACTGCAAAGACGATTTTCCACTGTACATTGTGCGAGCCGTACCTGCGCTGACATGGCCGTGCTTCCTAGCAGGTCGAAACCGTGACCAAACCGGTTGCATTAGCAAGAGAACATTTTAAAATGTATTTCAGAAAGCACTTCTTTACACAGCGTGTAGTTAGAGTATGGAATAGTCTTCCTGTTAGTGTAGCGGAAGCTAAAAGCCTGGGTTCCTTTAACCCTGGGGAAGCCAGACCACCTTATCATTATAGGAAAAATATGTCCATTGGCTAAAATGATCATACAGACCCAGTGAATTCAAAAACAGGTGTTTTGTAAAAATAACCCTTTCCCAGTCCATGTTATGAATGTGCCATATACGACCCACTGGACTGTTCGTGCTGTTCCAACTTGTTAATTTCACCTATGAAATAAGGACAGAATAGAAGGAAAAAAGAAATCTTTGCAACATTCTCATTTTCAGAATGCATTTATTGAGTTTTCCTTTTCATCATTCACCATGTGCTGGCAATAAAACACATGCTTCAAACACGCCAACCCATCAAGAAACAGATCGAGTGAACAGACCTGCAAAAAGGTGTACTACACACAGAAAGTTTACCTGTGGTGGGTTGTAAGGTCTGGTGCACCACCTGTATTCCCTCTGTTTTTGTCTGAGGCTGGTGTTGAGCACATGGAACATGATCATCGCAGTTGCTAGAAAAGTTTCAAAACATCCAAAACCTAGTTGTACATGTTCTATAACATCTAAACATTATAACTGATGATGCAAAATTTCTGCCACTTACCTATTCACAGCTTGACAGGTGAATCTTTGCAGCATGTACAGCATATGGCCCGTTGGGGGCCATATTAATTGTGGAAAAAATCTGGTTAATTCAGTCGTATATGGTACAATGGGCTGTAAAGCAAAAAAAAATTCTTAACTTTGATGAGTGGGTTGAATGTAAGGCAGAAATAAAAGGAAGGTGGTATATGACCCCGTGGGTTCCCAGGGGTTAATACAAATTATGGTCCACCTTCTTAAGATGGTAAGACATTTGTTTAGTTTTGTGGTTATATTTTGC